CTAACCCTAATCCTAAACCTTACCCTAACCCTAAAGCAAACCCCTAAACCTAATCCTAACCCTTAATTTAAATCGGCTTTCTGCCGCTGCGCTGTTTTAAAGCGCACTTCTGTCGCCGCGCTGTTGTCGCGGCGGTGATGATGCGCAGTGATGACGTCGCGGCTTTAGCGACGCGGTTTTGTCACCGCTATTTTGACGAGCGCGGTTTTGTCCTGCCACGGAAGTTTATATATATACAAGCAGACAAATTACATTTTTAATAGCCAGAATCCCTTCAAATGCTTTTTCCACCAAGGAATGTCCCTATAACTCATACAAATAATGGAGATGGGGGGATGTTTCTACATTCTCTTCTTCCCTTTTTTTAGAACCGGGGCTACAAGCACACTAATGAAGCAGTACAACCATCCTCAACCAGTGGCTTCCGACAAACCAGGTGTTGCTTCTAAGTCATAAGTCAAAGATGGCAGCATTACACTCTGCATTAAATCTGCATTTCTTCCTCATTTGGTGAAAACTTAGTTGTTGGTGTATTCATCATAACCGAAGGTTCCCACCCCCTCCCCATGTGGTCTCATTTCTGGAAATCATTGGACACACATGGATACATTTGCTCTGTTAGAAGTTTGGGCTAGTCCAGGACTGAGAAATGATTGGTACCACAAGGACATCTATAAATCTCCGAACTGAAATTTGCTTTAAATAAATAGACTTACAGTTCTCAAGTGCCAGCTTTCTATAGTGGCATAAATTTCGGTGTAGAAGAGAAATATCGTTCTTCCCAAAGCAATGAATTTCATGCAACTCTTTTCTTGGTTGTTTTTTTTTTTCTTTTTCCTTCAGCAACAAGCTCAAAATTGTAAAATCCAAATACACTGTCAAAAGCTGAAGCAAAATGATGGGGATCCTTGCAGCCAGTACAGAAACGAGCAGCTTGGGCTCCAGAACGGTGCTTTTACCGAGCCCGCTGATAGGAACAAATTCTTTATGGAAAAACTTGAATCAACCGTGAGTGAAATCGCAGTGAGCAGAAACAAACTACAAGAGGAAAACTTAAAGCTCCAACAGGAAGTAAAAATGTACCAAAGGAAATGCCAGGTAAAGACCAAGCTATTTGCTCGTATATTGTTTCTAAACAGTAGCTTTCTAATATTTTATGCAAATGATATTGGGTGCTGCTGCCAATCTAGAAAGAGTTGTGAGCCCATGAATGCTGATGGTCACAGCTATGTACTAAGGATGTAACCAGTTTTCCCCAAAGAAAAGGAGTTTAGAATCTTTTGGATTGCATAGGTAGATCGATGTAAGTTGTCAATAATCAAGCTTAGTTAAGATCTGTTAGATTTCAATGTAATGTGATTCCACATGTATACTGCTCTTTTTTTTAAACTTTTCTTTAAAAATAGGATAGGCCAAGTATATTGACATGTAGCGGAAATACACCAGGGAGAGGAGGAGTGGGAAAGAAGAAAGATGGGCAGAGAGGGATGGGAGAGAGGGTGGGAGGGAAAGGTGAGAAGGAAAGGGGGGAGTGAATGTGGAGAGAGGAGAGATAGAGGGAGAGGGGAAGTAGGGTAGAGGGGGATGATGGAGGGAAGATAGAAAGTTGGAAAGTGGTGGAAGAAAGAGGTGTATGGAGAGCGGAAGAGCTATATTAGGACTCTATTTTCTGGGGTATTGCTGTCAAGAGGAATTGATGTAATTAGCCTATCC